CCCCCCCACGGCTCCGGTATACGCTGCACTCGAAACGTCAGGGGAAAACTTTGGTCCTAACACCGCAACTAAAATATTTTCGTGATGACTCTGTTTTCTAGCCCACAGTTCATACAAATTACCGAAACCTACGTTATTTACAGCAAAACTCTTCATATTGATATATATCAACTTGCATATTTGTGATCAAATGAAATTAGAAGACAGGTAGGAAAATGAATGCAATAGAAGTGAGTCATATATGGCCGGCCTTACGGGCATTCTAGTTTTTATTTGAGCCCAGAGTGTCACAACGGGCGCGGCCCAATTTGTGGCGTGGCCTCACCACACACCGCTTTGGGCTCATTTGGCACACGGGCGGCTCGGGTATTGTTGTTATGCTAATGGTTCGATTGAAAATGAGCGAGCCGGGCCAGCAATGACACACAGACACGCGCGCGCGCACGCGCCACGCGCACGCACACACTAAAACACTTGTCCTTGTCACTGGCATTGTTGTGGTTTTCAGTCAAGTTTTCTTTTGTTTTTTGTTTTTTTACAGTTGGGCCAGCTTCTGTTGTACTCACTAAGCCTTTATGCATTTTGTTTTGTCCGTATAAACCGGCATGAGGTTATGCAAACCCATAAATGGATTCTTTTATTCAAGAAAAATTCGATGAAATTTAAGAATAACCCATCAATATGAGTTAAACTTCCTAAATATAAGGACTATTTCTAAATACTTCGCAGTTCTGCAAAGCGTTTTTTTGCAGGAATTCAACAGTGTATAACTCGTGCATGTGGACATATAGTGATGCACGGAAATTGTGCATACTTTTATAGATAATCAAAATTCTGCCTGTTTTCACAAAACGCATAAGGGGGTTTAGTGTGTAAGCGGCATCCACCAAAACGGTGTGAGAAGGAAATTCTTGAAGATTGAGGAATCGGGGGAAAACAGATAAGCCCGCGCATAGGCGCGGGGGAGGGAGGGGGGGAGGCGTGTTGTCGACAACGATTTGTAGTTTGTGTTATTGGGTGTGAACCTGTGAACTGGCGCGCGCAACAGCGAGAGGGATGGGGGGGGGGGATGGTGAAGGGGCACCCCGCGGTGAGAAGAAGAACAAGGGGGTCGTGACGGCGGCGCCCCGCCCCGCGTTGCGCGGCGCGCGGGGGCGCGTGGGCAGCAGAGCCCCGCTGGGGGTCAGGGGGCCCCGAGGGCGCGGCCTGAGCTAGCGCTGGCGGCCCCACACGCAGCGGGGCGTGGCGTGGCGCGACCAGCCTGCGCGCTATCATGCGCTGCAGCCACAAGCGGCTGCCGAAAATTTATGTTCTCCGTTAATTATCGGTATTGTTCCTTCTCTTTTCGTTTTTGTTACGTGACACTCTTATCGGTTACCATCCGGGAGAAAAGCAGAACGCGGCATAGTCACACGGGAAGAGGCGCGCGTCATTGCTGCAGCTAATGGGCCCGCCAAGGGCGGCCGACCAAATAATGGTTCAGTATCGATCAAATTGCTGTTGCATCGAATGTTCTGCTATTGGTTAATAAAATAATGACAATGTATCCCCACACTCCGACTCGTGACTTTGAAACAAGGCATGAAAACGGCGCAGTGATGGACGAACACCTTAACGTCAAGGTATGAACTAAAACAATGGCACACGACCTCAGTGTCACGGGCGCTCACTGCTCCGTTTGGTCGTTGGCGTAATGATCTCAGTAATTAAATGCATAACGACCGATAATGACCAATGACCACGCACTGCCACACACTCTTTTTTATTTTACAACACATAGATTTTGGCCCCCAGTTTTTGTAGTAGGTGAAATTAATTAAATTGGAATTTTGAGCTGTATACAGATTGATTTTGGCTAACGCAGCTGCGATATTTATAACGCTATTTCAATCAAGACGCGACTAATCGACGGCGCACGAAAGCTGGCCATACCGAATGGTCGCGATGCTGCAGCAAGTTCGCAGTAATATGGGATTCGGCACGGCTTTTAGACTTTTAGCAAGCGATAGGCGGCCCTCCTTGGACTGACACGCCCGGTTTAGCCCCGCCAGGGCTGCCGTGTGACTTATTGCACCTGGAGGCACAAGTGTGTCTGTGTCTGAGTGTATGTGTGTGTGTGTGTGCGTGTGTGCGAGTGTGGCTGCGTGTGACGTCGTGCGCCGTGGATGACGCACGTCGAGTGTTTGTGTTCGGTTCGGACGGATAATTATTACCAACTCGCCTTCGCGCCAAGATTATAATTAGAAAATGAAATTCCCTGATTCCGTATAGAGCGCGGGGGCGAAGCGAGCGAGCCAGCGAGAGAGGTGTAACCCCCATGTGTCAATACACCGCCGCCCCGCACGCGGGTCTAACGCGGCCTGCCAGAGACAGTCAAACGCGGCCTGCCAGAGACAGTCAAACGCAGCAGCACACATGATTTTTTTTTTCTTTCATTTTTTTTTCCGCGCTCGCGCGCTGGTCGTAGCGGCGTGGAGGAACGCGTGTCGCGTGTGGGCGGCGCTGTGCTCGCCTGGCGCCGCGGCGCCACCCCGCCGCCGGCCGCAACGATTGATAGCCGCGGCGTAAGGCCGTCAGGCGGACCGGACCGGAACGCTCGCGTTATTGGCAGCGGCGGCGGCGAGCAGCGGACCACAACACACACGAGAGGGCTCTCTCTCTCTCTCTCTCTCTCTCTCTCTCTCTCTCTCTCTCTCTCTCTCTCTCTCTCTCTCTTTCTCTCTCGCGGGCGGGCGGCGGCGGCCAGGACGCGATCAGGGATCATCCTTTCTCAAAAAGTCCTGCTCGAGACGGGTGCGTTTTACTTTTAGATATGCCGGGTTTTACATATGCGTGTAATTTTTCGTGCTTTCGATCAATACTGACCTAATAATGATTGCCGTTTTGACACGTGAGATAGTTTTGGTAACAACCTTTTGGAAGATAATGTTCATTTTACAGAGTGTTCGTGCACATTTTTAACCCCGAAAAATATAATAGAAAGTAGATGATCCAAAAAAAAAAAAAAAACTAATACACATTGTTTAGCATACACGTTAGCTTACTTTCACAACTTGCAATAATTGGCACAAGTCAGCCGCCTCCTGTAAGATGTAACTAGGGATGTCAACTTTGTGATGACTCACGGCCAACGAGGTGAGCCCGTCAAGCACACACTCCCTGCTCTGCTCTGGCCGTACGGGACGCATTTTTCAAGATTTCGACCCCCTTAATCTCGCGCGGCGGCTGCAGGGCTCGTTATTTCAATGTGAAAGCGCGCGCGGCAAAGGTACGAGTAGCCCATCTCCTCCCGTCTCGAGTTACGCGAGCTCCCTAACAAAGCAGGCGACACACAAGAAGAAGCCCTTCATGACGCCCGTAGGAAAATAACAAGTATACAAGGCCCAGTTAGATCGAAAACCACCGCAAACCGCGCGCACACGCAGGCAAAAGAAAATGTGCGACGTAGAAATTCACCTAATACTAAAAGATGCGCGGCCAGGGCCAGGAACATGACATGACAAAACGCAAGATTTATACGTTTCTTGTTTCATAAAAAGAATCTAAACAATTAACTGAAAAACTTGCACCCCGAACAGTTTGAAAAATTTGAAATCCAAACAGTTTGGAAACATACTTTTAACCTCATTTGGAAGGTGCCCAACTTTAAGGGAAATTCTCCCGACACCTGATTTGACTGACATTTCTAAATTTATGCGCAATTTTTTTCATTTTTGTTGTTACTTAACCTTAGTTTTGGTAAGTTGAATGGGTACGTTTCTGTTTTCCAAATTGTTTGGAAATTTCGAAATTTCCATCACAGCCCAACGTCCTCGACCCATTCTCCTACTGCTCATTTTCTTTCGCGTGAACTTATCCATTAGTAGCAGGAGCAGCCCGCATGCGCGGACTTTGGACAACAACAGGTCGGCGCGTGCGACTTTGTGGACTTGTAACGTCGGCGATGTGCGGTCACCACTCCACCATGCCCCCCTCCTCCACCTCCTCCTCCTCCCGGGCGACAATACTCCTTTCCAGGAGATCGGGTTCCTGCTGCTCGCGCGGTCCCGATGCGTAATCCGCCCAAATAATACCATATCCTCCTCTGGCCGCATGGCCGGCGCGCGCGCGCCCGCAGCCAGAGCCGGGGCCGGCCCACGCCACACGGACAAGCCGTGTCAGCTTTCGTCGTTTATTAATAAGGAAGGTGTCACAGGGGGCATGAGGGCGCCTACTGTGCGGTACTCACGGATCCTAGTCGGAGATAAGGCGAGAGGATAATTTAATTCCCCCGCCGTAGGTTTCCGTCACTGTTCTCATTTTTCAAGACCGCGCCTTTCGCCTTTTGAGCAGTGGTGTGTGTGTGTGTGTGCGTGTGTCCGTTTGACCGACCGAATCTAAAAAAAAGAAAGGGAAAAAAGTTTATAAAATGTTGCCATTGCGATGGGAAGAGGCGGGCTGCTTACTCACTGGCATCGATGGTGACCAAAGATGTATAAAGAATTTTCCTTATCAGTGTTGGGGTCGGTTTTTTTTATT